TTATTTATTAATAATTATTGAATATTACAAAAATATTGCAAGAATATTGCAAAAATATTGTTGAATCATGATTGAATTCATAATTGATACATTAATTATATTATTCAAAATCATATATTTTCTAAAAATTGATTGATTGATCAAATTTTTCAAGTTTGAGAAATTATGAAATTAAAGAAATTTATATTACTATAATAATAATACTTTTTTAAAAGTAATATATAAAATATTAAATAAAGTTTTATATTTATTAGTAATTATAGCTTATATATAATAAAAGATATTTTATTAATAATTTTAAAGAGTTTAATAAATTTCGATATAAATTTCTTAATTATTTTTTATTTATCAATTAAATTATTTGTATTATAAATAAAGAGAAGAATTTTATTTTTAAGATTGAATTTTTTATATTTTCTATATTAATTTATATATTTTAATTATCTTTTTTATATTTTTAATAGTAAGTTTTTGATAATTTTAATTATAATATTCTAATATTTTATAAAATTTTAATTTTATAATATTATAATATTATTTTGTAATAATAGAATATTAATATATGAGATAATATAATCTAATTCAAAAGATATATATTCAATAAAAGTATTTTTACTATTATTATAGATAAATTCAACTGCTACTAGATTTTTATTCTATCTATTTTATTAATATATTATATATTCTAAGTATTTTTTTTAAGATTTAGTTAAATCTCTTTATTTAACTTTTTAATTGTGAGTAAAATATTATTGATATAGTTAATTTTATTTCAAATTATTTAAATAGTAATTTTTAGAATTTATTAATAAATTTTATATCTCTATTTAATATAATTATTATAGATAAGCTATATAATTTAAAGATATTTTCAAAAAATATCTTAATAATATCAAATATAATTACTATAATAGTTATTGATATAAAATATACTCTCTTGAATAACTTATCTATAATTATAACTATTATATTATATTTAAATTTGATAATAAATAGTTATAATATAAAATTTATGATTATATATTTTTATTTATTTTTTGATATGATAAAAAACTAAAATAATTCTGAAAATTATTAATTATTACTTTTATTATACTAATATAATTTATAGCTAATAATATATTTATAAATATTTTTATTTATCTTTAACTAGTAGAACTATTAAGATATAATTATATATATCTTATTAATTTTAATATATCCTGCAATTAATATATTATAAAATTCAAATAAAATCTTTATCTTTAAGATTTTATTATTAAATATAATTATGCAATTAGTATTCTTTAAATAGAATATATCTTTTTTTAACTTAAAATATTTTATTTTTGCTTATTATTTTAATATAATACTACTTAGATTCTTTAATATTTCAAATATTTCTGCAAAATATTTATCTTTTTTATACTTCTAAATTAACTTTTCTTTATTAATAAGATAAATAATAACTATTATAATATTTATCAGATATAATTAATAAGAAAATATAGTTATAATAATATTATTTTTATTAAATTTATATTTAATTTCAAAGTTACTTACTTATAAAGTTTTTAATTAATAAGCTTATCTTTTAAAAAAATTATATTATATCTTTATATATTTAAAAAAAATATAATTTATAATTATTATAAACTTTTACTCTTCAAAATATGACTTTTAAAATCTAATAATATATAATAACTAATAATTCTTTTTTATATACTAAATTATTTTGTTCTGCTAGTAAAAGTTTTCTTGATTTAAAGATTATTAATTAATTATTTTTGTCTTGATTTTGATTTAATATAGTTTTAATAACTATAAATAATAGTTTTGAATTAGATAATAATAAGATTAATACTAATATGAAATATTATATAAGAATTTCAAATATTTTTTGTGCTTGAATAGATTATTTATACTCTTTATCTTTATATAGAAGTGCTATAAGAGATAATATTATTATTAAAAATTCTTTAATAAACTTTTTATAATAACTAACAAGTTCTAGAAAAGAATAAAATTCAATATATTAATGAATATTAATTAATTTTTAATAGTAACTATTTTTATTTATTTATTAAGATATTATTTACAAAAATAAAATATTCAAAATATTTAACAAACTGCTATATAAATTTATATTTTTTTTATTTAATATATAGTTTATACTTATAAAGTATAGTGTATTACAAAAAATTATTTTCTAAAAATTGAATTTATTTGATAAATAAATAAGAAAATATATTATTAATAGTAAATGTATCTTGATTTTCAGTTAATTTCTATATTAAAAAATATATTTAAATAATAAATATTATAATTAGTTCTATTATTTTTCTTCTTGTTTTTTATAATAATGATTAACTCAAGACTTGAAATTTAATAATAAATAATTTATTATTATTAACTTAATAATATTTAATCTCAAAGAAAATATATAAAAAGATGAATATTTCTTATCATACTATTCTTAATAATCTAAAAAATTATGAAATATAGAAATTATCAAGCATAAAAAGGATAATAAATACTTTTTCAAAATATTACTTATATTATTAGACAGAAAATATGTCAAAATAATACTATATTAATATGACAACTTGCTTTTGCTATATAAAAAATACAGAATATTTTTATTTTATATATTTCTGTTTGGTAATATATAAAAAAAATGTAAAAGAGTTTTATATTTTATATAATACTAATACTTACTAATTAATATATTAAATTATGAAAAGCTTGAATACAAACACACTTACAAAATAATTAAAGCTGAATTATATTTATTAATAAGATGATATTTGATCTTTTTCAAAATAAAATTAGTTAATAATATAGAATAGTAAAAAACTAATTTATTAATTATCAAAATCATATCAAAAAATAATGACATGGAAAGTTATTTCACAAAAGAGAAAAACTTCTTTATTTTGTTTTATAAATATAATGAATAGATCTTTTTATATAAGTATATTGCAGATATACCTGTTGCCAGCTGCTTAACAAATGTATGACAAGAACTAATATCTGCAACAAGATAATAATTCAAAATACATATTACATATTACTAAGAATTTTATTATAGAAAATAAAATTCAAACTATTATTTGGCTATCTAATAGTTTGAATCTAAATTTCATCAAAAACATGTGATATATTATCAAGAATAATATTGAAAAACAGATGCCAAGAAATGTTGACAAATTAAAATAATTTATGACTGAAGAATGGAATATAATTTCAGAAATGACTATACAAAATTTAATTTCATTGATGAAAAAAAGATGCAAACTTATTTTGGAGAAAAATAGTAATAGAATTTTGTATTGAAAATTATATATGTAAATAAAATACATGATAAGCTTTCTAAAAAAATTGGAATTGTTTAAAATTTTTACATGATCATTGAGTTATAGTATTTTTATGAGAACAGTTTTTTTCATAACACACTGTATATCTAGTATAATCTAAAAATATTATATATGTTCTTTCTTTGTTTTACTATATATTAAAATATTATTCTGCTGGAAACGCCACTACTCCCAAGATCTCCCTCATTTCCAGTAAATGTTTACTTAGAATTTCAACGTAAAATTCGCATCCATGATCTGTTTAAAACAGAACAAGCTCGTTTTTCTCTTAACGCAAAAGCCTCCCTATGCAAGAATTTTTATTCGGCTTTTGGGCACATAACGAATCGGTCGTTTTCCCTTATGCCATCGCTTTACGGTGTTTCAGAAGAGTTCAAATGCAGTCTCGTCAGTGAAAAAAGTTCGATCCCAATTGTCATTAAGGTGAGCTTGTGCCCACAATACCCGTTTTTCTTTGTGTGCTTCGGTAAGCATGGGGATAGCTCGTGGCAGACTTTTTGAATATCCAAGATGATTCAAATAGTTTGATGTGACACTTGTAAACCCGTTTTTAATAATTTTGCGGCCAAATTTCTTATTGAGAGGGAGGTGTCCCTGCGAATGTATTGTCCTAGCATTCTTGCAGAAGTCCCATCAATTTTTTTTGGTCGTCCTTTTTTACCCACATGTTTTGTGGATCCCTTCTTTTGAGTTTTTTATATTATCGTATATTGTTGAGAGAGGGAACTTTCTTTGTGCATGAATTTTTTTTGCATCACGTATACCGTCGTTCCATGATCGTAATAGAACTTCTCGACGTTTTTTTTTTGCCGATATATCAAAGCACGTCTCTACGAAAGTAAAAAGGTTTGATGAAAAAAAAAGATTGTCAACGTAGCACATGTGTCTTCAATTTGGATGTTTCACAAAAGTTTTTGACTATATAAATATAGTTAAAATTAATATATATATTTTTTTTGTATTTGCGAATGGTACATGTGCATGTACTCCTGGATTTATATAGCTAGCTTGTTATTTTATTAGAATGAATATTTCTAATTTTGGTGATTCATTTATTGTAATGGTATTCAAAAATCAAAAGTTTTATACAATTTGATCGATATTTCGTTTCATAATTCCTCGATTTTTTAAACTTCATATCCCAAAAATAAATATTTTCTGAAATAATGTGCGATTGTACTACATTAAAAGTTTAAATTAACTGAAATTGTAGTTTCTTTCATTTTTGACACATTTAACTCTGATGGAGAACCAGTAACTGAAGACGCGCCAAAATCCTGTGGCGGTGGATAAGCAACAGTGGATCCTTGAGAAGCATCGAAAGCCGCGTTTTGGTAGAAGGAATCTGATCCTTGAGAAGCATCGGAAGCCGCGTTTTGGTAGAAGGAATCTTGTGGTGGTGGATAAATAATAGTGGATCCTTGAGAAGCATCGAAAGCCGCGCCTTGGTAGAAAAAATCTTGTTGCGAGATTGATTGACAAGTAATAGTAGATCTTTGGTGTTGATAGTTATTTACTTCCTTGGCTAGTTGCTTGTAGTAGTCTTTGACTTGCTTTGTTTCTTTTTTCCAAAACTCAGAAGCAATCTTTGATAACGTTGGCATATCGCATTTTTTCGTTTGATTTTTATTCAAGTCTACCATAGTATTACGATAGATTAAAAAAGAATTTATGCGTAATGGTAATGTTTGATTACTTCTTTTTCTTTTTCGGGAAATATTTCTTTGTAAAGTGATAAAAATTGGATAGGGTGGCCTTAAATGTTCGAACTGAGCGAAATCAATTGGGGTGTTATTACGAAAAAATTGGTTCATGATTTTTCGCTTTGGATAGACTAATAACAACACTGAAGATATTTATACCATTTTTCACTTATAAAATATATTTATTATAGTTGTGTGAGCCATTTCAAAAACTTGAAAAACCTTGTTCGCATATATAATGCAATGCATGCAGCATGCAGCCATTGGAATGCCTGGCGCAATTACATGTAGAATGGAATGTCAATGTAACGACACATGGTGAAACTCGTTAGTCCGAAGATGCATATAATGCCATATTAGATGTTCACGCAAAACCCAAATCAAGTAAGACCAATTACATTTAATCCGAAGCAAGAAATACTTTATGTTGTACAGTTTTAAAATTCAAGGTTGCTCAAAACAATTCTTGCTGTAATAGGACTCGTTCCAATTTAAAATGTTTGCCAAAATCAGAAATAATCCAAATTCACGCTTGAAACGGTAAAATGTCCCAAACTAAGAATTTTTTATTGTGATAGGAGTACGTATACAGAAGTATTCAATTGGACATAATGAATTGCGCCTCATTTTTAACTGGCTATATGCCCAATTCTCTGAATCCAGGAAAATATGGTCACCTCACTTTGTTGCCAAAGCAACAATTGAGTGGTTAGCCACGATTTTAAACTTAACCACAATGTAACAACAGAATATCAAATTAGGAAATAAATATTGTAAGAACTTTAATAAAGCTCTATCTTTGCGCATTTTGCAATTTGCCTTTAGATGACATCCAATTATCAAATTGCACCATTCGATTAATTATGAATGATGCAATTCTGTTAACTGAATCTCAAGATATCATGCCCGAAAGAAAAAAAATCAGAATTTCAACATGCAATAACTTTCTGTTGCAATATCTCGACACACAGTGGTTTAAATCGCATGTCGATATCGCCATTCGATTTGCGAGTCGAATTGTGACATTATTATGCGATTTAGGTCGAGATTTTCACATCTGAAAGTTACTGCATGTTGAAATTCTGATTTTTTCTTTAGGGATGACATCTCGACATTCAGTTATCAGAATCCTTTACGGTATAATCATTTTCGAACATAGATATTATTCTATTTGACTGTCATTGCATATAATAGTCATTTTTGCGAACTTGTGAAATATTTTTTTCGAAAACTTACAAAGCATCGCCTCTAAAATGGTAACCGGATTTTTCCGGGAATTCATATTTTGATTTTACACAGGATTAGGGATAAGATTATAATGTAAAAAATCTTCCAAGTTGAATTTAGACATACTTTTTTCGAAGAAAATAACTTGCATGCATATACGTTTGTATATAATTTGAATAATTATATCGTTGCCCTTAAAATACTGTATATCCGAAGTAATTTTTCGAGGTTGTTGCAAATTAAATTTATCCAAATTAAAACCATTTCTATTGGTACAACTAAAATTAAAACTATATTCCATCTTTTATGTGAACATTCAGAGAAAAAAAAAGAACTTTGTAGGTTTCTGAATGGTGAACTAGCCATGGTGAAACAATAAAGCTGATATCATCATTAGATCGTTTAAATCTATTTTCTTCATGGTTCCATTGTAAGAGTATAATGATGCTTTATATCGATTGAAGTAGCGGTAAACAAATTCCGCAAAATATGTACCCTCTGATTGATATTCTCTATTTTCGGATTCGGAACTACGTAGTTTTAATAGATTGAATTCTTGAATTTTTACTTTTTTCCCGCATTTGTTCCGATTGCTGTTGCTGTTGTCGTCGTCGTCGTCGTCGCCGCTGCTGTTTTTGTTGTGTTCTCTGTTGTGGTTGTTATATTCTCTGTTGTTACGGTTGTTGCTGTTGCTGTTATGGTTGTAGTATTCGTTGTGGTTGTGTTCTCTGTTGTTGCGGTCGTGATTGTGATTGCGATAGCTGATATTTATAATAACTTCTTAATTCGACTACAATTTGAACTTAAAAGCTGAAAACAAAATTTTTGAATTGTTACCATTGTTGCTATTAATGTTTTCGTTGTTGCTGTTTGTTACTGATATCGTTGTTGTTGCGATTGCTGTGTTACGATTGTTGTTTACGATTTGCTGTTGTTATCATTGTTGTTGCTGCTGTTGTGATTGCTGGCATTTAAAATTGAAAGATAAAGGTAACATTTTTGTATTAGTTTTTAAATATTATAATCTTTTTAATGCACGCGTGCAATCAGAATCTTTTTAATTATCATTTCCGAGCAAAATTATACGGTGTAGGTAATAGACGATAGTAGTGTCTTGTGATATTCTAATTGCTGTCATAGAGATGTGCCTATGCGCATGGTTACTAACCGATATCGTAAATGCCCATACACAATTATGCATATGGTTAAGTTCATAAATCATCACCAATTAAGGCA